AAAAATCACAGTTATATACACACACATTTTACATACTACGTTAGAGGCCCATGGACTCATTGTAGCCTATTAAATTTAGTTCTTAATATCATAATGTAATGAATTCATATAATTTTGAACATAATTTRAATTTATCATACCAGATGGAGGGCTTAGTCACCCTTGACATAATTTCTAGTCCTTCACTTTGTCCTGTATCTTCAGTGATGGGTACAGATTTCTACCTTAGGCAACGACCTCTGACCTCATCTGCATGGGATGGCTAGACACAACCCATTTGATATACCCCACAGACCCTCACTCCCYGCAAGACCTGTGCACTTATGCCACAGTGACCACTGCTCATCACAGTGTGAATCCACAGAACTCATGCTTATATGCTTATAAACCCACCAGTCAGAACTACCCTTGGGAGACCTTGGGTAACACCTTTCAAAGGTTTCAGCTCACAGATCCCTGGGTCTCTCTCTTGCTCCCCATCCTCTGGTTGAACAAGGGTGTTCTGGACAGCCTCCTACTTCCTGCTGGCCCTACCAGGTGTGCTGCCCTCTCCTCTTTGGGATCCGTCCGTAATACACTGCCTCTCTTACTTCTTGTGTTTTGGTATGTTGCCTCCTCAGTGTATGGCCAAATTGATACACTCAACCTCATTCTCCTGCTAGTCAGGGTTCTCCTAAAAAGAGTAGTGGTCATCAAAGAAACTGGACACAAAACAGGCAAGAGCCACAGGGTAATTTTCCAGTGTAAACAAAACTTTTGTAAGAAAGACACCAGGTCACAGATCCAAAACTTAGGCATTAGGTCATCTGCTGGGATAAGGAAGCATCTTGAAGGGGATGCTGTAAACACAACCACCTCTGCTGGAGCACTGTTATGGCAGGGCTGGATTTTATAGCCACTCTCTTTAAAGAGATTTGAAAATCAACTTAGAGGAAACTATAAYAAGATCCCAGTATTAAAACACTGCATTAGAATGATTATCAAAAGACCATCTAACCCAACTCTCTGACCAGTAAAGGAGTCTCCTACATCATTGCAACTGATGACCTCTCAGCCTCTGCATGGATATCACCAGTGCATGGAGTAGTCTTAATAGTTGATTATTTTTAAGAATCAGGTGTTCTTAGAATACTATACTTATCATCATGGAAGACAAACAGAGTAGCAAAGATAGCAAGTTGTGAAATCCATCTGCCTAGATTCAACTCCTTTTTATTTTTCCCTCAGTACTGGGGATTGAATCAAAGAACACATCCCCAACCCTTTGTTTTCAATTTTGAGACAGTGTCTTGCCTAGTATGCCCAGGCTGGACTCAAACTTGCAGTATTCCTGCCTYCTGAGTATCTGGAACTGGGTTCAACTCTTGACCTCTACTTTATGAAACTTTCCTAAGTTCCCTAAATCACCTTAGTATGTTCTAAAGTTCAAAAATAAAGATTACTAGGGGCCTGGGCTGTAGCTCAGTGGTAGAGCACCTGCCTTGCATGTGTGAGGCACTGGGTTCAATCCTCAGCACCACAAAAATATAAAATAAAGATATTGTGTCTATCTACAACTAAAAAAAAAAAAGATTACTCAGATCATCTTACATTTTGTTCAAAAAGCATTTGAGGCAGGAAAGATGAAAACGGGCACACATAAGTAGTTAGCTGCTTAGAGACCTCCACTCTTAAGGGCCATATTTACCCAACTCCTCATCCTCCCTCAATGATAGAGTTGCTTTAATTCTCTGGAAACTCAGAGCCAGCCCAGTGGGACACTGAGAAGAGTTCTGCTTTTATTTCTTTGAGATTTTCAAGGCATTCCTTGAAAAAAAAAATACTACATTCTCCAACAGAAATATTATCAGGAATAAAATGTTCTCCATATTCATAAATTTGTAAATACTAAATGTTTGTTCTTAAAGAACAAAGGCTAAACAGGACATCATAGACCATGTCCAGCAAACACGGGCTCCTGTCTTAMACTGGCTGTGTGAACCCGGCCATTTGGTATCCTGCAGACAGTGATTGTGAGTTTAGAGCCCCTAGACCCCATAGTTGAGTCTCTAGCTCGAAACCAATTGTTAAGTTGGAACAATTTAATATACCTCTGTTTAAACATAGACTGGGATTAATAGCAATATCTACTTTGCTGTGTTTTTATGCAGATCAAATGAGAATATAACTATGAAATAATTGTGAGATCATTTTTTATATTATTACAACTGCATGATTAGATTTATGGGCATGACAATACATGTCAAACACAGTTKAAATTGACCATTTTCCAAAAAGTAGATTTTGATTTAATAACTTGAAGCAAATAACACTAAATATTTTAGACAATGAGTTTTGTAGTGACTCTAGGTATCACTTGTCTCCAAAGATGTTGTTAAGAAAATAATTTTCAACARTGGGTTCCAATTCTATTCATTTTTTTATGAAACTATAGTAAACATTTCTTCAAAAGGCATTAAAAGCTGCCAATATGTGATTCCATATAACCAAGATTAATTGATTTGAATGGAGCTCTTAGATTTGATTCTCCACCTTTTTAAGCATTTGGATTTACTGAAAAATGAGCACAATGATATAACTAGTACCATTTAAAATTACTTGTCAGTGAAAATCAGCACCTTTCCAAACTTTGAACACATAAAATACAGAAATAGATGAATTTTTCAGCCTGATATAAAACTGTAAATCTCTTATGATTAATAATTCCAAATTCCAAACATTTTTAGCTTGCACAGAAAAATCATACTTGTATTGATTGAATATATATGAACTAAATATGATTTTGAGTTATATTAATAATTTGACTTTGAACAATGTATTTAGCATTTATCTGGGGGCAAATGGTTTTTGTTTTAAACATTGCTCTGTATGGGGCATAGAGAAGGGTTGGTTGATGGGTATTAAAGCAGGAAGATTAATTTCTATAGCACAGATGATGAGTATTGTTGACAATAATTTATTATATATTTCCAAATACAGGATTTTGAGAGTTCCCAACACACACACACACAAACAAAAAACAATATAAGTTGGAGGTAATGTATGTGCTARTTATTCTGATTTGATCAATATACATTGTCACATGCTTCAAAATATCACATTGTACCCTATAAATATCTACAATTCTTTTGTCAATTAAAGACTCTTAAATAAAGTGAAAATAAAACACTGCTTTAAGTTGTAGAAATGGACATTACTCAGTGTTTCATTCTTTAAGGAATTTAGCTGTTATGGTAAATAAAACCATATTTACAACTTATCATTCTTTGTTATGGTAAATATAACCATATTTACAGCTTATCATTCTTTGGGAGGGTTTTTCAAAACTGAAAAATATACAAAAAGAAAAAACTTTGGTCTGCAAAAAAATTAATGGATTGAGTATAGATGGATGACAGATTAAAAACACTAGTGGGAAAATAGTTTCATTAAAGGGAAGAATTATCTTGTTTCAAAGAGAAAGAGAGTCAGTTCATTTACCCAGATAAGTGGCAGTGAAGTAAAAAGCTGATGGAGATGTGTGTGTGGGGGGGGTCATGTTCCAGAGCTGTTGACAAAGCCAGCTGTCTAAGGTCTATCAGATTAAACACTCAATTGCTATTTATGCTATTATCATTGATAATGGTTGTGATTAATTTGTATATGCATCAGAAGAGGAGAACTATGTCTATTGTGAAAAAATACTCCATAATACATTGCCATTAGCTAGTAGTGACATGAGAAAAAAAGGAACGGGGAGAGGTGGGTAAGGGAGGGAGAAAAGAAGCAATCATCTACTGAGTGCCTGCTCTTTCATGATTTGTCCGTCTCACATATGGATCTTCACTGCATCTCCTCAGCAGCATCTGATATTATCATTTTATATCAATAAGAAAACTAAAGTTATGAAATGTAAAATACATACAGCAAATTCATTCTAGGTATGTTGTATGCCAAGTGTGAACCATCATTGTGCGTACTTCTGAGGACGTTAAAAAAAAAAAMAAACAACCAATTCAGTTTCTTTTTTCAAAGAAATTGTCTTCCAAATGTGTGACAATCATAAATAATTTATCCAAAGTCATATAACTAGTGAGAAGTATATGTTTTGAAAGCAGGGTTTTCTAATTATGAAACTTATACTCTTTGTACCATCATCCTAGTGGGAGGCCAGGAGCTACATCCTCCTATCTTCCTCCATGAGGTCCAGACTGAGAGTGTGGGCAAGTTCAGTAGCACATTCTCTCTAAGCCTTGCCTTGACATCAATCATGTTCCCAGATAAAACATTAGGAATTACTGAGAAACCTGGAACAACAATAATTCCACTGGCCCAAAATTGTAACCAGAACATATTTTTAGATATTGATTTAAGTGATATTTTTGTCTGCATTTTCACCCCTTTCTCATTTTTAAGCCTGTGGTTGTCTCTGTGTTCATCAAAGAAGGTATATGTCAGAGACAAATTTAAAAAACCCTGTAAGATGTTGTGGCTGTTTTTTCTCAAAAGAGCAAAGAAAGATGGATATATGGACAAAATGTTTTGAAAGAGAAGTGTTTCCCAGCCCAACTCCACTCATTAACTAGWATGAGACTCTTCTTAGCTAACGGATAGGAAGGAGAATGGAACTTGCAGTAGATTCTCTTTCTACCTGGCTTTRGAGCAGAATACACATGCCTTGGGCAGTTTTTCCATCCTGCCTCATTGGCATGGCAAAAAGGGAAAAGCATTCTATTCTCGACATATCTGGAACACAGTAAAGCCTTTACATTAGGTCCAARTAAAAATGAATGACAAGTTGCACAAAAAATATGAATGCCACGGTTTTTAAACAATCTTGATAAACATCTTACTGGCTATAACACCTCAGCTAGGAGATTTTACAATTCAACCATGCATCTCTGAGTATATGGACTCCAGAGGTGTCATGTAGGTCATTGTCTACCATTAATTAGGTATTCATGGTTGGTGAATCACCTAGAAAGTATACTAAAAATCAATATTTACAGAACTAAGGGTAGTAACAAAGAGACATTGTTTTATTTTTTCAAATATCATGTACAARACAAGAATGAAACCATGCTTATATCTATCTTGCTTATAAAAAATAGCTCAGATTCAAAGCATTTCTCCAATGGAACATAAAACAGCTGATCAACTAATGTTTCCATGTGTATTCACCCTATTCCACTTCTGGACGGCTCCAATTTGTCCAYATGTGCTTCTTGCAAAGCCACTTGGCAGTGCCTACAGCTGCGACTGCCTGTGAACATAGCGATATCCACACTCAGGCTGCTACCTCCAGATTTACTCATGACTTCCTACCACCACAGGTACATTGCTGGGTTCTCTAGCAGCTTCCTGCAGCCAGCAAGACCCTTCTTCAGCTGACTTCAAAGACCTCTGCTTGTTCCAAGAGTCATGATTTGCTCTGGCTTAGGTGCATTGGATTTTGTCRTGAGGCAATAGTATCAATACCATTTTCTTCCCAGGCTAAGTCTTCCTCTTTCCGTATCTATAAAAATAATTATATCTTACAGAAAGTAGGGCAGTGGAGAGATATTGGTAGGAAAGGGCCCTATTGCTTATGTATATTGGCTYCAAATAGTCAATAAAGGAAAGGTATATTTTATAAGAAGTTTCTTATTTCAGTTCCTATCTAGTCATATAAGTGGCTTTCACAGGCAAAGGAATAAATATTTCATTCTTAGTTTGGAAAATCTTTATTAAATTGAAATCTTGGGGAAACAAAACACTAATAATATCTCTGGGTCATGGGATTAYGGTGACTTCTATACTCTATTTTCTTCTTTATAATTTTTTTTCTGTAAGATAAATAAGTAGGAATTAACTTTTTATGAAAAGAAATGCCATAAATAAGAAAAAATTGATGCTTCCCAGCCAACTATTTCTTGAAACTCTGCCTCTGTAAGGTGGAAGAACAAGAATACCTGCTCTTCCTGATAGAAGACCCATGGAGCTCAGAACCATGCATAATCCCCATCAGTATATTTACTGAGTTCAAGAGATGTTTCTTTTATTTTTAATTGATTTTTATTTTTTAACTACATGACAGTGGAATGCATTATAATTCTTATTTCACATATAGAGCACAATTTTTCATATGTCTGTATTAAAGTATGTTCACATCAATTTATGTCTTCATACATGTACTTTGTATAATGATGTTCATCACATTCCACCATCCTTGCTAACCCCCTCCCCCTTCCCTTACCCTCCCACCCCTCTGCCCTATCTAGAGTCCGTCTATTCCTCCCATGCTCCCCAWCCCTACCTCACTATGAGTCAGGCTCCTTATATTAGAGAAAACATTCAGCATCTGTTTTTYTGGGATTGGCTAACTTCACTTAGCATTATCTTCTCCAACTCCATCCATTTACCTGCAAATGCCATATTTTTTTTTGAGAGAGAGAGAGAGAATTTTTTAATATTTATTTTTTAGTTTTTGATGGACACAAAATCTTTATTATATTTTTATGTGGTGCTGAGGATCAAACCCAGCGCCCTGCACTGAGCCACATCCCCAGCCCTGCCATAATTTTATGTTCTTTTATTACTGAGTAATATTCCATTGTGTATATATGCCACATTTTTAATCCATTCATCTACTGAAGGGCATCTAGGTTGGTTCCATAGTTAGCAGGRTATAAAATCAACACCCATAATTCAAAGGCATTTCTGTATACCAATGACAAACCCTCTGAGAGGGAAATGAGGAAAACTACCCCATTTACAATAGCCTCAAAGAAAATAAAATACTTGGGAATAAACTTAACAAAAGAGGTGAAAGATCTATWCAATGAAAACTACAGAACCCCAAAGAAAGAAATCAAAGAAGACCTTAGAAGATGGAAATATCTACCTTGCTCTTGGATAGGCAGAATTAATATTATCTAAATGACCATACTACCAAAGTCACAGGCACTATACAGATTTAATGCAATTTTGATAAAAATCCCAATGGCATTCCTCATAGAAATAGAAAAAGCAATCATGAAATTCAYCTGGAAAAATAAGAGACCCAGAATAGCTACAGCAATCCTTAGCAGGAAGAGATGTTTCTTCAAAAGAAATAATCCTCTCTTAGGATGTGGCATACCAAGCCATACTGTGCTGCCCACTAGCATTTTCTAAAGGTTTAGAATATTGTCTTATGCAAAATAAGTTTAATTAGGCATTTCAATATTTCTTTCCCTCATTCTCCTGTTGGCTAATTTCAACTACCCATATAGAAATTTCTTAAAATTACTTATTGTCTCTCCTCTGTATGTCCTCTAATGCCAGTTGTGAATTGATGATTCTTAGAGGATGCTAGTAGAAAAGTCTCTCTCTCTCTCTCTCTCTCTCTCTCTCTCTCTCTCTCTCTAACTAGTGCATTTTAACTATAAAAAACAATGAGTTTTGTTATGGGAAAGTCTCAACATATCCCATGTACATGCTAAAATTGTAAAATGTGCAATGTGACCTCTCATTTTGTGTTTCAACTTCAAAATGACTTCACAGCTTGTATTTGGCTAAAGTCAGTGGTTTGAGCTATAGCGATGATTACCCACAGTCCAATAGTACAATATCATAAAGATTTTATTCTTCAATAAAAGCAATTTGTTAAATTTTTAAACCAATGTGGCTTAAAATCTGTTTTGTAATAATTTTCTAGTAAATAAATTCACAAATTAAAAAACACCTACTATTTGACCATATGTCTCAATTTAAGGTTTAGCACACAGCTACCATAATCCTACCTGGGTTGAATCCTATGTGCCTGTCTCCCACTTTTCCCTCACATGTTGTTGGTATCCAGGTATTGGCAGGTCATTGAGACTCAATTTTTCTCTTTCATTTTCCTGTTCRTGGAACAATCTCACCTTCTTTCCTCTTCCTGTTACAAAAGCTTCAAGACTGAATTCTATTATTTTCATCTGAAATTCCACATACTCTTCTGTCACGTCACCAATCACATTGTTTTGTCATTTGTGTCCAAAACCTTGACGGATTCTTACATAAATTAACTCCTCAGGAAAGGAAGTGCCATTTGGTGTTTAAGTCCTTACCAAATCTTTCATTGCTGCATAACACTCAAGTAATTTGTTTTCAATGACAAAATAGTCCTTGGTGAAGACACATGGATCAAAATATCTTAATAGATGCTAAATTGGGATCTCTATAAATCACCTCACTGAGGGTGGGAGACAAAAATAAATTTAATGCAGAATTAATATTTATTATTTAGGGCAAAACTTTACAATTATAAATATTGAAAACTGCAAGCAAGCTTTCATGTAAGGCAAAACTTTACAATTATAAATATTGAAAACTGCAAGCAAGCTTTCATGTAAGGACCGGGAGTGTAGGTTAGTGGAGGAAAACTTGATCAGCATTGTTAAGGCCCTGGGTTCAATCCTCAGCGCTGAAAAAAGAAATCTTTAAGCACCCCTAGAATAGTAGATTGCACAAAGATACCCATGTCACAAATATATATCTATATAATGAATTGGGGGAGATTGTCTTTATGTCCATTGTTATATGAAAGGTTAAAAATTTCTGAGTAAATTCTTCCCAAAATGATGTGTCTCAAATAATTTATATTTAAGTAAATAAGACATACTCTGAAGAATGATGTTAAATGAGTGAAAAAAAAGCTTTATGCATATAGTGATTTGTTRTTTGTTCTTAGGACTATATGTTTAGGTTAGGTGCTATGATGGTACGAGGGTTAGTATGTCTTGGCTACTTTAGAAGATTGCTCTATTGAAGGTGGATACTAACAGGCAATTGGATCAGGGTGTTGGTAGTAGCTAGGTATTTAGGAGCCCTATAGACAGCTAGAGACATTCACCTATTTGCATTTAGACAATTACACGTAATGGAAGACGTAATGCTTGGGATGAAAGTTGGGGGGTAGGGGAATAAAGGTGCTCTTAAAAAGAAAGAAGGAGAGAGAGATAGATAGATTAGAGGAGAATAAAAAGAACAATAAAACTTGAAATGGGAAAGAAAGAGAGAAGGAAAAGGGGAGAAAGGAACAGAGAGAGAAGAAGAAAAAAAAATATTGAAGTCTTAGAGATCCATTTTCTTCTCTTCCAGTAGGCGGAGCTGTGCCCTCCGAGCCGAACTTCTGCCCTCTATGTGCTGATAGCAAACCCTGTAAGGCGGCTCCTGGGAGTCTCTCAATCCTGTTACATATTTGGGATGATGGTATAAACTTATGAAAAATTATGGGTGACAAAAGGAAACAATGAGTTGGTAGTAGGAAGAAAATTYATTATCCTACTGTTCTATGTACAATGAAATTATCCTATGTTTTTAAGGAAATAGTACATTTTCAGATAAATGAGAATTTAATTTGTCAACCACAGACCTGTCATACCAGAAATGTTAAAATAATGTGGTGACTCAAACTTAAAGGAAGGAAATTGGAAAAACAGAATTGATAAATATGTAATTAAATAYAAATAATTATTTTTCTTTTTAAAACTATTTTAAGAAATATAAGATTTATAAAGAAAATACAACAYTGTAACCTGGAGTTTATTATTAATATGTATGTATTATATTAAAAAATAGAAGAATGGAGCAAGGGGTAAAATAAATTATTCTTGTGGGAAGTTTCTTACACTTTAGAAAGTGTATAATATTAAACAGGGTTGAATTTGATCAGGTAAAGATGAGAATTGTAATCCCTAGGGCAACCATTAAAAAATACAAAAAAGCAGAGCTCAAGCAATTGGAAATATCAACATGTAATGCCCAAAAGTAAAAATAAATAYTTGATTAACTCAAAACAAAGAAGTAAAAAAGGATTAGAAGAAAAATAGATTGGAAAATGGAATGCAAATGGCACACAAATCTTGGGAAGTTGTTAGAATAGATGAAAAAGAAAGAGTGAGCTATATGTTAWCTGAAAGAAACAAACTTCAAATGTAAGATACTTTAAAAGGTAAAAGGCAGGAAAAAAGTTGTATTCTGTAACCCATAAACTTAAAAAATATGAAGTGTCTAAATTCATATGAGCCACTTCTTAAGAGAAAGAATAATATGTGATACAAAGAGGTCAATTTATTAAGATTATTTAACAACAATAAATAAACATGTGTGCAAATAATCGAGCTTCAAAATGCATGGAGCATAGAATGAAAAAATATAATAAGAAATAAAAAATCTATAATCATMGCTGGAGATTTTAACAGCAGACAAAATATCTATGAGAATAGAGAAGACCTGAACTTTTACAGTCACCTTGACCTAAGAGATCTGTATATGGCACAAAACAACTGGTTTTTTTTCTAGCACACCTGGGAAGCCCTGCATGACAGACCATATTATGATCTATAACACAGGTAAACAGTCAAAAGATTGAAAATGTACAGGCATTCTCTGACRTAAACACAATTAAATTAACAATAAAGGCTGAGGATACAGTTCAGTGGTACAGCACTTGCCTAGCATGCATAAGCCCAGTGATAAATCAATAAATAATAAACACAGAGAAATTGCCTAAATAAATAGATAAATAAATGAATGAAACACAGAGAAGTGACATAAAAACCAAGCTTTTAAGAGATTCATGTCAATGATGAAATCAAAAAGGAAAATTAGTTACACMCACACATACGCGCGCACACACACTCCTAGGGTGAGCRTGTGTATACACACACACATACCTCAAAGTGAATGATAATAAAAAATATATCATATATCATACTTGTTAAAGTTAAAAAAGCACATATAATGTATCATATCTGTTAAAGCAAAATAGAGAATATCTGAATATTTAAAGTTCAGAGAAAGGATAATTAATTATAGCTAAAATATTTATATTAACATATTTCTATTCAATGTTTCTGAATTATCACCATAAGAAGCAAGAAAACACAAGAAAATTAAATATGAACTAAATAGGAAGAAAGATTAGAGTAGAAATCAATGATATAGATAATGAAGAAAACTGACAAAAGTAAAATTTGGTTCTAAAAAAAATGATAAAAATGACAAATTAYAAGCAAAGATGATCAAGAAACAAARATAAAAAATAAAATTTTCAATTTTGAGTATAAAAACTTTGTTATTATGACAATTTCTACAATAATTAAAATAATAAGGAAAAAACATTGTTAATAGCCTCATGCAACATATTCATTTTGTGTCAAATTGCTTGAAAAACAAAACTTACCAAAAGATCTGCACATCCCATATTCATTAAATAAATTAAATTTCTACCAAGACCATTCCCAATAATAAATTTATAGAAGTGAGTAGTGTCACTGGAAATTAAATCAATTATTTAAGGAATGAATAATTTAAGAATGA